TTCTATATGGGCTCTATAGACCCCATAAGACAAATTAAAAAGTGATGAAGGTGATAAGAAGATGATAAGAAGATGAGTGGATGGGAGAAAAAGTGATGGGAGGTGAGGAGACATGAGATGGGAAGGGAAGGAATGAGTTAGGAGTGGGGGAGGTAGGAGGCAAGTGAGAGGGACAGGGTGGATCATTTACAAACGCCTTTAGGGGGACGCTCCTTGCGATGTGTGATTTTTGGATCTGAGTTCTTACAAAGCCTGAGAGGGGCACACCCCGTGCGATCTGTGATTTTTGGATCTGAGTTCTTACAAAATATTAGGGCGACACCCCTTGCGATTTGTGATTTTTGAACTTACTTGTCATGAAAACCTTTAGGGGACACCCCTTAAGATCTGTGGTTTTGGGATTTGAATCTTCACAAAACCTTAAGGGGGACACCCCTTGCGATTTGTGCTTTTTGCACTTACTTGTCATGAAAACCTTTAGGGGGACACCCCTTAAGATCTGTGGTTTTGGGATCTGAGTTTTCACAAAACCTTAGGGGGATATTTAAGAAGGAGAGAAGGGAGGGTGGGGGAGGGTGGAGATTCCAGGATAGTGGAGGTGGGGGAGAGTGAGGAAGGTGAGGGGAGGGGGTAGTGGGAGGGATAGGGAGAGGGAGGGAGGGGTATGGGAGGAGGACGAGGGATGAGGAGGAGGCTGCGGGCAAAATCTGGCGGAAGTGATCCGCCACCGAGCAAAAAGCCTGTAAATACCGCATTAAACAAAGGGCCAGGGATTTCACATATCTGGTGGCAACATCTGGCGGAAGTGAGCAATCGGTACTTCTGTCAGATTTTGCCAACAGATATGTGAAATCCCTGGCCCTTTGTTTAATGCGGTATTTACAGGCTTTTTGCTTGGTGGCGGATCACTTCCGCCAGATTTTGCCCGCAGATGTGTGGGATCCCTGGCCGTTTTTTGAACGCGGATGGGAAGAGACAGCAGGCTCCAAACCGCCGTGTCTCACCCACCACTTCAAGGGCTAGGGATCCCACACATCTGCGGGCAAAATCTGGCGGAAGTGATCCGCCACCGAGCAAAAAGCCTGTAAATACCGCATTAAACAAAGGGCCAGGGATTTCACATATCTGGTGGCAACATCTGGCGGAAGTGAGCAATCGGTACTTCTGTCAGATTTTGCCAACAGATATGTGAAATCCCTGGCCCTTTGTTTAATGCGGTATTTACAGGCTTTTTGCTTGGTGGCGGATCACTTCCGCCAGATTTTGCCCGCAGATGTGTGGGATCCCTGGCCGTTTTTTGAACGCGGATGGGAAGAGACAGCAGGCTCCAAACCGCCGTGTCTCACCCACCGCTTCAAGGGCTAGGGATCCCACACATCTGCGGGCAAAATCTGGCGGAAGTGATCCGCCACCGAGCAAAAAGCCTGTAAATACCGCATTAAACAAAGGGCCAGGGATTTCACATATCTGGTGGCAACATCTGGCGGAAGTGAGCAATCGGTACTTCTGTCAGATTTTGCCAACAGATATGTGAAATCCCTGGCCCTTTGTTTAATGCGGTATTTACAGGCTTTTTGCTTGGTGGCGGATCACTTCCGCCAGATTTTGCCCGCAGATGTGTGGGATCCCTGGCCGTTTTTTGAACGCGGATGGGAAGAGACAGCAGGCTCCAAACCGCCGTGTCTCACCCACCACTTCAAGGGCTAGGGATCCCACACATCTGCAGGCAAAATCTGGCGGAAGCGATCCGCCACCGAGCAAAAAGCCTGTAAATACCGCATTAAACAAAGGGCCAGGGATTTCACATATCTGGTGGCAAAATCTGGCGGAAGCGAGCAATCGGTACTTCTGTCAGATTTTGCCAAGAGATATGTGAAATCCCTGGCCCTTTGTTTAATGCGGTATTTACAGGCTTTTTGCTCGGTGGCGGATCGCTTCCGCCAGATTTTGCCCGCAGATGTGTGGGATCCCTGGCCGTTTTTTGAACGCGGCATTTACAGGCTTTCTGCTCGGTCGCGGCTCGCAGGGATTATACACCCTTGCCCCCACTCCACCCTCCCCCTTCATACCTCACTACCCACCCCCCTATCTCAGCCCCTTGCCTTGCACCCCATCACCACCCACCACCCACCACCTATTATCCACCACCCGGCACCCACCAACCACCACACACCACCCACCACACACCACCCACCACACCACCCATCACCCACCACCCACCACCCACCACTACCCAGCACCCGCCAGCCACCACTACCCACTTCCCACCACCCACCACCTACTCCTCCCCATCCCACCCCCAGCCCGCCCCAGCTCCTGCCCCCTGCCCCTAGATTCCGACCCACGGCCCCACCCAAGGCCCGCCAGCCCAGCCCCAGCCTCAGCCCCAGCCCCTAGGCTTTTTTGGGGGGGCTGGGGGCTGGGGCTAGGACTGGGTGGGGCCGGGGCCTTGGGGCTGGTGGGGCTGGGGTTGGGGGCAGGCCCTGGCAGGGTGGCTGTGGTCGGAGGCTGGGGGCTGGGGCTGGGGTCGGAGGCTCTGGGGCTGGGGCTGGAGCTGAAGATTTAAATTTTTAAAATTCTTTAAATTCTTTAAATTCTTTAAATTTTGAAATCCGGACGATTTCAGAATTTAAAGAATTTAAAGGATTTACCTCCTTTAATTTTTTTAAATTCTTTAAATTTTTAATTCGGACGATTTCAGAATTTAAAGGATTTCCCTCCTTTAAATTTTTTAAATTCTTTAAATTTTTAATTCCGGACGATTTCAGAATTTAAAGAATTTAAAGAATTTTAAAAATTTAATTCCGTGGGCTGGGGTCGAAGGCTGGGGGGCTGGGGCTGGAGCTGGAGCTGGACATTTAAATTTTTAAAATTCTTTAAATTCTGTAAATTTATAATTCCGGACGATTTCAGAATTTAAAGGATTTACCTCCTTTAAATTTTTTAAATTCTTTAAATTTTTAATTCCGGACGATTTCAGAATTTAAAGGATTTCCCTCCTTTAAATTTTTTAAATTCTTTAAATTTTTAATTCCGGACGATTTCAGAATTTAAAGGATTTACTCCCTTTAAATTTTTTAAATTCTTTAAATTTTTAATTGCGTATTCACACAGTATATATTAAGACACAGAGCAAGCCCTACGCCAAATAGGACCTAAAGGTCCTACGTACTTAGGGGTTTAGGGGTTTAGGGGTTTAGGGTTTAGGGGTTGTGGGGTTTAGGGTTTGGGGTTAGGGTTTCAGGGAAAAGGGTGAGTTTCAGTACTTCTTGGGCTTCGGTCTAGTAGACTCGGGTTTTTTGTTAAAGTGCAGTAGCCTCTTTGATCCGCAGGCGGGTACATGGAAGCTCGCTCAAGATTGAGCTTGCACAGTTGAAAAGCAGACAGACTCTAACCGGCTCACTCAGATTTACTGGATGGTAGAGCTCACGCTGTTCACTCTGAGTCACGGCTCGGGTTTAGGGGTTGGGCTTTAGGTTCAGGGTTAGAGGGCTGCATGGGGTTGCAATGTTGCTGATTCAAAATTGCAGGGATTTGAGCCTTTTGGAGTTGCTTCAAAGCCTTCAGGTTAATCGGCTGAGGGTCATAAACGGGCTTCAACCGGTTCTGGGATTTAGGGTTGATGCCCCCATCGCGCGTATTCGCGCACCGCTCGCTCTCTCTCTCTCTCTCTATCTCTCTCTGTCTCTCTCTCTGTCTCTGAGCTTTAAGTGTCAGAAGGCTTCATAAACCATATGCCCTTCGGGTATCAGAACACCGCCGACCAAACCCCACCCTTAGAGGCTGTAAACCCTGAACCGTAAGCAGAACCCTGAGCCCTTCGCAACAGGTTTCTGGGGTGCTTGCTCCAAGATGTCGCACTTAGAGTGAGGTTCGGCGGGGCGGGATTCTGGGTATTCTGGTATTCTGGGTTATTAGACATGACAACAAGGCTTCAGTGGTCGCACAGACCTAGAGCCTCAGGGTTGCAGTAAGACAGAATCCATCTCATCATCAACAGCTGCTTTCGAAGCGACTCAACACACCCAACGACCACCAACACTGACCATCACCAGCGGTTTCGACTCACACACTTATGCCAGCGGTTTAGGGTTCAGGCTTTTGGGGGTAGGGCTCTGCCACAAGTTATTGTGCGTTCTGCTTTCGCTTAATACAGTTATGGGGCCCATTATACGATAATTTACTCAGGAGGTCCAAAAAAATCATATATAAATTATTTCGGCCCCGCTAACACTGCCTTTCCGACTTCAAGGGACCCGGCATCTCAAAACCGTGCAGCATCCTTATGCCTACAGGCGAAATCGTAATTCTCTAGCTGTTTGAATAGTAAAACAGTTTTCTGGGTGAATGGTTCGTATAAGTCACTTGTTACGCGGATTGCAGCTGATGTCGCACCGCACTGCTGTCACCACCAGCGAAGGCGCTGCCCCAAGTGACGACAGATCCATCGTCAAGGATCGCTGCAAATGCGGACTCTGTTGCTTGAATATGCTGCACATTCTTCAGCTCGTCTCGAACACCGCTACTGTCACCACCCAAGCCTGCCTCACCCCAGCTAACGACGGATCCATCTATGAGGATGGCGGCGAATGCTCCCCTGCTTGCTTGAATCTGCAGCACGTTTCGCAACTCATCTCGCACGGCACTACTGTCACCACCACAGCGACTATCGCCCCAGGCCACGACGGATCCATCTTCAAGGATCGCAGCGAAAGCTGATTCAGTTGCCTGAATCTGATGCACAGTCCTCAGCTCATCTCTCACGATGCTACAGCTACCGCCGCCGCCACAGCGAGCATCACCCCAGGACACGACGGATCCATCGCTCAGGATCGCAGCAAAAGCCTCTGTGTTTGCTTGAATCTGCTGCACTTTCTGCAGTTGATCTCGAATCACACTACTATCCCCACCAAAACTGTCTTCCCCCCAGCTGACGACAGATCCATTTGCGAGAATCGCAGCGAAGGCCCCTTCGGTTGCTTGCACCTGTTTCACATTCTTCAACCGATCTTGAACGGAACTGCTGTCACCACCAAATCGAACATCGCCCCAAGACACGACGGATCCATCACCTAAGATCGCAGCAAATGCCGTACCAGTAGCTTGGATGTGCCGCACGTCTTTCAGTTTGTCTCTAACGGAAAAGCAGTCACCGCCGGAGGCAGCATCACCCCAAGTAACAACAGAACCATCAATCAGGACAGCCGCGAAAGCCAAACCATTTGCTTGGATTTGCTGCACGTTCTTCAGCAGATCTCGTACCACACTGCTGTTACCACCGAGAAAATCACTTCCCCAAGTGACGACGGACCCATCTTCTAGTATCGCGGCGAATGCTCCCTTAGTTGCCTGAATTTGCTGCACATTATTGAGCTGACCTTGCACGGAGCTGCTGTCACCCCCACGGCTAGCGATGCCCCAGCACACAACGGATGCATCACCCAAGATGGCCGCAAAGGCCATGGTTGTTGCTTGGATGCTATGCACGTTCTTCAGCTTCTCTCGCACAGCAGTGCTGTCAGCCCCAGAGCCACCCCACGCCACGACGGATCCGTCACCCAGGATGGCACCCATAGCCATCGATCCACTGCAGACCTGCACGGTCCGAATCTGCAGGGTCAAGGGCTCCCCAGTCTGTAGCCTTCGTCATAGTTGGGTAACATCTTGCGCTTTTATGGCTACTTAAACCCAATAAGGAAGAAAAATCTGCATGCTTATGGGTACTTAAAGACAATAAGGAGAAAAATGTACAATTCAATTTTTATCCCAACAATGAACTAGTAGCATGGCCCGCTCCAGCGACGTCTTCCCATCCAGAACAGCCCCAGCGGAGTTCAAGAGTCGACCTTGACCAACTCCTAGCGCTCTCTGGGCACGCAGCCTCAGCGACTCTACGGAGTCAGTCCGGGGTGCCTCCAAGGAGACAGTCTTGCCACTTATAAGGCTCACCTCAACCGTCAGTGACATTGGCTAGGGTTCCAGGCCAGGTAAACTCCATTGTGCCTTTCTTTTGCTGGACTCCGGCTTCTTCTCATTCTCTTGCTTGGTATTGTGATGTGTGCGGCTATTGAAACAATAGGCCACGCTGCTGATGTTGGCAATGTTCACTGCTGTTGTTATTGGCACTTTCGTTCGGGTACGTCTGCTCTTATCGTATCTATACTTTCCAATCAGGGAAAATGTGGTCCCCAAGCCGAGATCAAGCCCAGGCTGCAAAGCGTTGAGCCACGGATGGTAAAAGCGCAGAACCAGAATTCAACACCAGATACACCGACAGCCTATGCACCACTACATACCTTTAATGTCTTCTCATGTCCATCTACTATAAGGCCCTGACCAGTTTCAAAAACTGTTCCGCAGGTCCGTAGGGTTACTTATTGACAAAAAATTATACTATGATATATCGTCAACTCTGTCAGGATTTTTACACCTGTTTGCCACGACGGTTAGGGTTCGGAGATGTTCGGAGATTGTTTGGAATTTGGGGCTTAGGATTTTAGGCTTAACGGTTTAGCACGTCCTGGACCTGTTCTTTACTTGAAACCTTCTGGGTCATTCTCCGAAGTCTTCGAAGAGAGGCGGGCACGATATGAGTTAGACAGGCCGAGCATCTCTCAGCAATACAGACACTTCGACCCTTGAAAAGTCGGAGTCCTTCCCACTTGCCTGCACACCACTTTTCAAGAAACTCCATCCCTTGAACTCGGAATTCAAATTCACACGCCAAACAACAGGCCTTCAGCAACATCTGTGGCCATGGCGGGAGACATGGAGGGCTTCTTGTGGGACAGTAAAGGCTGGGGAGGTATTTCAGCTCGATCAGGTGTTGCGAGGGGTCTGGGGTGTTGAGGTCGGGCCAAGATGCGGAACAATTACGTTGAAAGCCAATGCGGCTCGGCTTAGGGTTTAGGGTTAACATGAACATGAACACCAAAGCTTCACATCCTTGCGACTCAGCCCGGCTTGGCACAGGTCTTGGCAGCCCATCTTAGCTGCTGGGGAGGACGAAGTTCTCTGCACTGGCCTACTTGGGATTAAGTCACATGTCCTTCCTCTCTTCTCCAGGAGTGCTGGATGCACGAATGCAGTGAGGGCTCACAGCCTACCTATGGTAATGGAAGCGCGCCGTTTTTTTCAAAGCCGCCAGGCACTCTTTCGTGATCCTGCTGACTCGAGAGGATTAGATCAGCTAAGAAACACGCAGTGAGCTAAGCATGAAACGCAGACATGTGATGCCTTAAGCTCTAAGGGTTGTGTCATGTTGCGGCCGTAAACATGCTGCTGGTGAAGTTTCGGGTTCGGGTTTCATCAATGGCTCGCTTAGGCTTCCCATGTCTCGTGGCCCAAGAGCGCTCAACGCCGAGAAACGAGGGCCCAGGCGTCGCAGCTCGCCTCTGTCAGGGAAGGCGTCTTAGTGGAACCCAGAGACTCCAATATCCCCTAATTAAGGAATAGTCCTTAGATCCTTTTTGGGACCCTACTATAATTTACGGCATTTTCCTTAATTAATGGATATTGGAGTCTCTGGTAACCCTAAACCCTAAACAAAGAAAAGTGGGGAAGCGCCGCTAGGGAGCGGGGCCGCTTAAGGTTCCCAGAGACTCCAATATCCCTTAATTGGGGAATATAATATACCCTAAGGGTTCCTAAAAGGGATCCTTAAAGGGATCTGTAGGGTTTAGGGTTTAGGGGAGTCTAATTTCCCTTAATTAAGGAATATGCCTTAAATTACAGTGGGATCCCTAATGTGATGAAAAGAATATTCCAAAATTGAGGGATATTGGAGTCTCTGGGTTTCAGCTTTGGAACTCCATACCCGGACTTTGACTGTAGCAAGTTCAAGGTACTGCAGGGGCCTTGATAATCAGAATAGGGTTTTGGGGTATATAATACTATGATCATAATAAGGAACCCAAAAATAGTATTGGCTTTTTTTTAGGCCCTTATACAAAACCCCCATAAATACCCCTTGTAGCGATCCTTATAGACCCTTTTATAAGGAACCCTTAAAGGAACCCTTTAAAGCAAGCCTATACTGTTTATTTAGGCCCCTATAGTACTTTGGGAAAGTGCTTCCGGGTAGATGCTTCAGGCTCGGGGCCGCACTCTTCAAGTGCACCCAAGGGCCCATGGGCTCATGGGACTTGGTAAGTAAGTTCTTACGGATCCCTTTAAGGGAACTATAGGGTTCTGTAGTAGGGTTCCCTTTAAGGGTTTAGGGTTTAGGGTCTACTTTAAGGATCATGGGACTTGGTAAGTAAGGTTATAGGTAGATTGTAATTAGGATAACCCCAGTTAGGGAACTTATTACCCAATTGTAACCTAGTCACCAAGTCCCATGATCCTCTAAGTACTAGTTTAGGGCTGGGGCTACGTCTTGATGAGCAGTGGTGGGTGAATGGGGGATGGATTCGGGTTTATGAGAGTGTATTTCGGGTTCTAGACTAGAAGTGCTATAATAGTTACAAACTGCAAGTCTGTGTCTGGAGCAGGAAATCCGCGACGCCCTTACCCCTACACCCCTAAACCCCAAACCTGTAAACCCCTCACCCTAACTCCTCAACCCCTACCCCCCCAAAACCCTAGTAACCCTCAACCCACAAGCTGCGAAGGCCTTGCTTAACCGACCGAAACTTAATTTTTTTGTATGCTCTTACTAGAAACCCTAACATGGAGTTCGTAGGGACCCTACAAAAATGTAGGTTCTGGTGGATTAAGTACCTTATAGATCCCTTATAGACCTTTGAAGGAACCTAGGTGTTCCTGAATTAAGGGGACCCTTTGACAATCCTTGCCTCTTAGGTCTCAGTCTTCTCCTCGGGTTTCGGCTTTTCCGCCTTGCGAAGCTCGGTCGCCTGAGGCCTGCGTAGGCGGCTTAAGAAGTTTTAGGGGATAAAGGGGGTTTAGGGTTTATGGGTTATAGGGGTTTAGGGCATAAAGGTTTAGGGTTTCGGCGCTTTAGGGTTTAGGGTTTATGGTTTATAGACGGTTTAGGGGATAAAGGGGGTTTAAGGGTTTAGGGGTTATACAGGGTTTAGGGGATCAAGGCTTAGGGTCCATGGCTTATAGAGGGTTTAGGGGATAAAGGGGGTTTAAGGGTTCAGAGAGTTTAAGGTCTACAATAGGGGGCTGCCAGCTGCAGGTCTCTGGACTCTGGACTTAAACTTCTCGGTAAGGGTTTAGGGTTTACGCTCTCACAACTCGGACGAGGCCAGGCGAGGGTTTAGGGGTTAGGGTTTAGGGTTTGTTCGTTTGGGGTGCTGTGATGACCCCCTAGCAGTGCTCATAGGTTGCTTTTGGTGCTTTCCAAAACTGTCCCGATCAACTGGCGCTTCAGTTCCCTCCAATGCTCAGACGCTGGCGAAATTGAAAGATGTTGACAGCCTACAGGAAGTTCCGGAAGGCTTTGCATCAGTGCACGCTGTTCTCGAGTCCACATAACTGGCTTAGCTGAGTTCGCGGTGTCCCGGATGCCTGGCGAACAGTGGGCAGGCATGCAACAAACAGCTGCGCAGTCCACTGTCGTCGCTGTATCCCCATTCCTGAAACCCAGCGCCCACAGACCTGATATCTGAACACTCAACCGCGACCCTCATTCATCGAATTTAAACAACCGCAACCTCCCAGACATCTATCATTCCACACTCCGGCAAGCTCCCCCGCATCCAAGCCCCACACTTTCCACGGTAGTTGAGGTAAACAGAGAAGGAAACCTCGGGTGATCTACCGCACGGTGGCTCTGATAGGTTTTGGTTGGGGGCGAAGATGTACATATGTAGCAATCTGCACATGCATGCGTTGTATGCGTCTGTGTGCGCGCGCTTCTTCTGGGGATTTGGCAAAGGGGTTTATGGCGCTGAGTTCAGAGCAAAAGGGCTTCAGGCTCGAAGTTTAGGGTTTAAGGCTTGGGGTTTACGCTCTCGCAACTCGGACATGCCTGACGAGGTCTCTGGTGCTGTGTGCTTTGACGGTCGGTACTACAAGCTGCCTTCCAGTGCCTCACCACAAGGAGCAGTGAACAATGCCCAACAGCTCTTAGGGTTTAAGGCTTTTTCCCCTCCTACTTGGCAAGGACAAAGCCCGCATTGCAGGGTACAGGGTTTAGGGTTTAAGGGTTTTGGGTAGGGGGCTTCCTGTCCACATTGCCATTGCCGACGTTCCGGCCGAACCTTCCTGCACTCCTGCAAACTCAAATGGGGGGTTTCAGAAAAAACTTAATATAGAATCCCGAAAACCAGGGTTCTTGTTACAAGGAACTCCACATAAGGTATCCGCAAACCCCATATTCGCCATGCTTCTGCTGGAATCTTGAGTCGTCCGCTTCATGCAAAAGTTCATAAGGCACTTATACTGATCGTGGCTGTGCCCTAAACCGTTTTCGCAACTGGAACTTGGCGACTGCCTACAAGACCTAAAGCCTACACCTCCATTTAGGGTCAACATCCCAACAAGCCCATAAAGCCCCGAAGCGCTAAACCGCTCGCCGAACCATGCCAACAAATGCAGCGGTCAATGTCCTGCGGTCTTTTTTTTTGCATCCATGCCTGCCGGGTACTGTGGTCTGGAACCTAGAACCCCAAGTCCAGATGCCCGAAATCCTCAAAGCCAAACCCCAAGCAGAGAAACACCTTCATAAATCCTCAACAGATACTGCACAGGGACGTACTGCCCACGCTTGAAGTTCTTTCGTTGCGTCCGATGAAGGAACCTCGGGCCAAAGATACAGAAAGGGCAAGCTTGCTTCGGTGGTACTGATGGTTTATAGAGTTTGGAGTTTAGTAGGGGCTTAAGATTTTTTGGGTCAGGGGTTCAGGGTTTAGCCTAGGCTCTCGCAGGAAGGGCGACCATCCAGGCCAGCAACAGATTGAAGGCAGATTGCAGGCAGATCGTTTGATCTTCGCAACCTTGACCGACCCACTTGCACCTTCAACAGACCCTTGTCTTCTTCCAGCTTCTTTCGTATTCATGATTTCTCGCTGCGGTTTGTGACCGACATCGCGAGCCGAGAGATGAAGCTCACGTCATCCACAGGAAACTGCATCTCTTGCATGCTGCAAGCAATGCAAAACCCGCAATGCCAGAGTAGGACTGCTGCCAACCATAAACTCAAAGGGGAAAAGGATGGACCCTTAAAGGGGAACCCTACCCTATAATGGGTATATATAATGGGTATATAATAGCTATATGAAGGGTATACACCTAGGGGTCCTGATTAAGGGTCCCTCCTTTTATCCTTGGACAACCATAAACCCCAAACCCTAAACTCTTGAACGTGAAGCTCCCACATGCTCGGCTTGACCCTCAACACGCCGACGGTCGCTGCTGGCACAGTGCTGTTTAGTCCAATTTTATGGGGACATGGCTTCAGCGCTCATATGGCAAGCAGCATGTGTATATAGAAATATGAGTATATGTATGTGTACATAATTTCTGTCCATACATATATATATATATATATCAAACGTGACTGGAAGCCAGAAGAGGGTCCAAAGTTTGGACCTCACGGCTTGCGGTGGCTTCCGGTAGCGAGTTGAAGGAATTGCTCTTCGCAGGGACATCGTTTGTTTTTTTGGAACCCTTCTTCCACCTGATGCTCCACAAGCAACTTCTGCTCCTACTACTACTACTACTAAGACTACCAATAACAGTTATTATTATGACTGATAGTATTATCTTTGGCACTGTCTACACCCCTGACAAACCTCGGGATAATATGCAGACCCTAAGCCCGCGAGCTTCAAATCTATACCCTGCTACCCTGCTTGGAGCCCGGCGCATCTTGCCCAAACTTCTTCGTGATGTCCGGGCACTCAATGAAGCCAAAGCCCTTGTCCTCGAACCTGGCACAGCAATAGACGAGCCTCCGCTGACTAAACACTCGAACAAGCAGTCGTTAGTAGTAGTATCATTAGAACTGCTAGCACTACAATCATTACAGGCCGCATCATCCGCAATTATGTTCTAGTTATTTGTACCATTAGTAATCATTAGTATCTGGGAAGCAGGTGGATGGGACGATATCCTAGAAGAAGAACCTGTGCAGGCATGTGCCATAGCCCGGGGCTCAGCTGCACAACATGGTAAGGCCAGATTGGCAGCAAGACCCCGGGAAAGTTTGGACCCTAAGCTGTACTAGGTTGCACTTTTGGGCGCTGAAAAGCCTTTACTAATAGGTACCTCTATAGGAACCATAACATAAGTTACAAAGTTTCCCAAAATGCCACCTAGCGTATGACTTGCAGCTTCTCGCCAGCTTGAAAGCAACATGCCGGTCTTGGCCAAAGGTACATCACACCCACGAACCGCCGGTCTGTCAGACCTGTTTCGGGCTTGGGTTTTTTTTCCCTCCTACCTCGGGCTTGGGGTTAGGGTTTAGGGTTTAGCGTTTAGGGTTTGGGGTTTGGGGTTCGGGCATGGCTCCTTGACTGCAACCCTGCACTTCTCAAGTCTCAACCCGGCTTGGCGGCACGAATCCGGCCCCTCGGGGCCTGAGGAACCCTAAACCCTAAACCCAAAACCCTAAAACCCTAAAACCCTAAACCCTAAAACCCTAAAACCCTAAAACCCTAAACCCCTAAACCCGAAACTCTTCGGGTTCAGAGTTTAGGACTCGTGGGATTTAGTCTTTAGGGTCTTTGAGGCTCCGGGGTTCGGCGTGGGCGCGTTGGAAGCTTCGCTTGGGGTTCAAGGCTTTATCAGCCCATGGCCTCAAGCCTTTAAATCCTTACCTAAAGGCTCATAGGACTTAGTAAGTAAGGTTATAAGTAGGTTACAATTAGCATAACCGCACTTAGGGGACTTATAACCCCAATTATAACCTACTTACTACGCCGCTAAGCGTCACTGATAGCGCTTCTGCCCCTTCCGGCTTATGGTTTATAGGGTTTAGATGGGTTTAGATGGGTTTAGTAAGCCCCTAATCCCGAAAACCTAAGCCCTGCAACCCTGAACCCATGAAACCCTAAAACCCTAACCCTCTTTTGCTCAAACCCTTACACCCATCATTTAACCCCCCAAGACTTCAACCCCAAATGCCCTAAACCCAAAACCCGAAAAGGTTGCTATAAGGAGGATTGTGAGGTCGTTTGAAGGGGCCGCTTTAAGCGTTATACCTTTCAAGGTATAGTATGATTGGATTCCTTTGAAGGGGGCTGTTTCGGGGGTGTTAAGGGTTATTACACGGGGCAGCAGCATAAGGTTCCTCTTGAGGGGTTCTTTCAACGCCCGTTGCGACAAGCCTTGAACCAAAACTCCAAAAACGAAATCCCGAAACCCCCCTTCAACCCTCACCTGGACCCTAAGGAACCTACCTTTTTCGGGTTCCCCAATATGATTTGTTTGTATAAGTCCCTACAGATGTAGGTTACTTGAGATTACTTGGAGGATCATGGGACTTAGTAAGTAGGTTATAATTGGGGTTATAAGTCCCCTAAGCGGGGTTATCCTAACTATAAGCTACTTAAAACCTTACGTACTAAGTCCCATGAGCCTTCAAGTAAGGCAATGCTAAACCCCAAACCCGAAACCCCGACCCAGGCCTGGAACCACCTCCATGTCCGGCGGCCGGTAGTGCGGGTGGTTAATGTTGGGGGATGGGCCCGGCCTAGAAGCGGCGACGCGTCGATTGTAAGCTTAGGGTAGGATTTAGGGGAATTTAGGGTGCAGGGTTTGAAGATGTTTGAAGACTTCCGCTTGAAGTTTAGGGTTGGAGGCTTTCAAGGCTTAAAGGGCTTGCGGGTTGGGCTGAGGGTTTCAGGGTTGCCTGGTTTAGGCCTGGCGGTGTAGGGCTTTAGGCTGGAACCTCGCTCATTAAAGTTGCGAGGATATAAAGGCTTAGGGCTTTGGGCTTTGGAGCACAAGGAAGCCCTTGCTGTATCCGGCTTAGAGGCGAGGGGCTTTACATAAGTAGATGCTGCTACGAACTCCATGACCGATCAAGCCTTCAGGGTTTTGGGTTTAGTTCACACGGGTAGCTTTTCCAAATAACTCAGCCAGGCAAAACAGCTTTGCTATTTTGCACACAGACCGTCCAACATTCCACACCTACTTAAAGGGTCATGGGGCGAAGTAAGTAGATTATAATTGGGGTTATAAGTTCCGTAAGTGGGGGTATCCTAGTTATATCCTAGTTATGACCTTACTTACTAAGTCCCATGAGCCTTACAGGAACCCTAAACCCTAAACCCCTATAGATCCCTTAAAGGAACCCTTACAGCCCCTCCTTAAAGGAACCCTAACAAAGACCCACGGGCCTCTGAAGTAGCCCTCCCAAAGCTACTACGGTTGATGATATAAATCCTGCATTACCCATAATAAGGAATATGCCATAATTCCCATAGTTTAGGGCCCTTAAAGTAATCCAGAATAGGGAATATACCATAATTCCCCATAGTTACTATAGTTCAGGGCCCTTCATATTAAGGTAATGCAGGATTTATATCATCAACAGTAGTTTCAAATACACATGCCACCTCTCTCGAATGGGAGCCTGACCAGGGGGCCCCCTCTTCCTCCTTTTTACCACAAAGCCTGGGACTTTGAAACTCTGAAAACCCAAAGCCCTATTGAAAGGCTCATGGGACTTGGTAAGTAGGGGTGTAAGTAGGTGTTACAAATTATAGCCCCAGTTCTAACCTACTTACCAAGTCCCATGATCCTCTAAGTAGCTTAAATCTGAAGCCCTAAAACGCCCTCAAGCCCTAAAACCCTAAAGCCCTAAACCCAAAGCGCTGCAGATGCCTTTGCAGCAACCCTGTTGGGAACCTTACTCCAGCTCCTGAGGCTGCCGGCGGGTAGGGGTCCTCCTCCTCCTCTTCTTCCGGTAGCTCCTCCTGTCCGGCAAACGCCAGGGCCTGGGCGTTGCTTTCCCGTCTCGAGCTTCTCTAGGGGTTCAGGATTTCAGGTTGAGAGTTTAAGGGTTTTAAGGGTCGAGGATTTATGGTTTTTTCCCACCCGCCCAGCTGTAAGATCGCACCCCAGGGAAAACGTCCGAAAGATACTGCCACACTATGGTTTAGAGTTTAGGGGTTCAGGGGTTGAAGATTTGATAGAAAGGCTCGAGGGGCTTTGGGGGGTCAGGGCTTTAGGGCTTCTGTAGGGGTTCCTTCAGGGAACTAACCGGTGCTACAAGAAAGTATGCAACAAGGCCGTCTAAGGCCTTCAACTTGAAAGTGTATCCAGAAACCCCCATCACACGCATTAACAGCAGCCAGCAAGCAGGCGTTCTCCTCCTTACAGCCGGATGTCACTTAAAAGCAAACACACCTGCATCTGTCGCCTGCTTCCAGCGGTAAAGCTTAAGTTGTAGACCAAATAAAACTCTGCAATCTGCTAGCCAACTGGCATTAGGATCCACCGGGGGCACCATTTGTCCAGTAGCTCCTGGTATCAGTCCCATTGCCTTGGCTACAAGAACGATGGCGACGTTCTGTCCGTTCAGGAAGCTAATCACGGCATCATATCTCAACAAGCTCCTTTCGACACTACATTTGTGGAGCCCTACGTGCCACACGGAATCATGTCAACACGCTTGCTGCTCTGCTTTGCCAAGTAGCCATGGGGTTCATCTGCATCATGCTGGCCATGGGATTCATCTGCATCATGCCGGCCATGGGGGACATCATCATGGCCTCATGTCGCATGACAGATCGGGAGGACCGAAAAAAGCTCCGAGCAATCAAAACGCGAATCGCCACATATCTTGCTTTAGACTACCTTTCGGGCGTTATGCTCGGGCCGAGGCCATCTGCTGCTGCTGCAGGAGGGCGGCCATTGGATTCATAGCCGACCTTGGGTTGTGCCGAATGCTTTACATCGAGCAATTTCTTTCCAAACAAACGACATTGCAACACAAACGCACATGCTGCAGACTAAGCCCGTGACATTGTAGGGCAGCCACAACCCAAGCAGCCGCATCCACAACCACAGCCACCACAACCCGGACAACAAGGAATACACCCTGCCATGCAGCCGCCGCTTGGCTGACAGCTAGTCTGGCAGCCTGCGGAGCATCCGGATGGGCAGGCTTGCCCACAACCGTTGCAACCTGCTGCTCCGGCACATGCATCTCCGGCACTGCTGCCAGGGGCAGACGCTACACTCGTTTGGCATTGTCCGGCGTCAGGTGAAGTCGCCTCGGTACGGAAATTGTTCCAGCAATGTTTTGCTACTGCCTTCAGGTTGTGCAAGCAATATGAAACAATCCAAGCCCGGCCACTGCTGCAAGCCCGGTGTCTCCTGCCAACGGTACCATCAATCACAAACGCAAAGACATGTGCCACGGATCACCATACCCTCGCCTGCGACTGGACTGCGTGACCGGCTGCGCTCTCCTCCAGTGGTAAAAAAACCAAATTCAACAGTCAACGCAACACATACACACAAAAAACCCATACACTGACAACCGTTTCCGATACAGTTGCACATGACAACTCAGGCAGCAGCGCGCTTGCATCACTGATGCTTGTCACCTCTGGCAGAACAGCTCGTGCTAATTTACGTGCTGTCTGCCGGGGAAACATGAACCGCAGAATCTGTCTGAGCAACTCACGCGTCGATTGTGCAACACACTCGCCACACCCATTGGGACGGGCGAACTATTGCACGTAACAAGAACAGTCCGTCGATGAGTTGTGGAATTCTTGGTGCATGCCTATCCGAGTGGATGTTCACGCTACAAATCATAAACTCGAGTATGCACTCGCGTCTCCGAATGTCTCCGAGGATGATTCTAAATTGAGGTGTTGCACCGCAAGAACTTCTTCCGTTGTACGATTTCGCATAAATCGTGCTGTTGATTCGTGCTTGAGCAAGCAAGGAAACGCCACACTCTTCGTGAGGCCCTGCGTGGCCGCACCAAGTACAATAGCTTCCATTGCACCCACGGGACTACAGCCAAGTTGCGCACAAACATACATGAACCCCCGTATTCGAACACCGTGTGACCATGAGAGGGCGTAACCGACAGCCACGGACCGGGGGAGGGTTCGTTTTTGTTGCCAATCTTTTGGTCAACGAGCGACGCCGGTTTCCGGTTTGCACCGCGTGGGCATGTGGCCGTGAATGCCGTTCTGCGATATATGGCACGTAGGCACGCCATGGCGTAGCTCGTGCGGCTGCCTGACATGCACCTCGATGACCCTGTCGCCGACGAACACTGCATGGATGTCGCAGCCCATGGCTCCCCTGTTCGCCTGTTACCCGGCACGGCTAGCAGCAGGTTGAAGGGGGAGAAAACGTTTAGCTGGGTCGACACAAGCAATATGTGGGAGTGACGCTGCCGCTCAGTCGATGGTGGTGCTGTCCCAATTCACCAGTTCCGTAGTCCCCACGGTCGTTGCGCCGCAACAGCAACGAGGCCACTCCACCGGACTTATCCCATTACTGCAGCTGCAGCTACATACCCTCCGATCATCACCTCAGCACGTATACTGCACGATACAGCCGAAAACCAAGTCATTTGAAGCCAGCCGACCTCGCGCGCGGTCGGCAGCGAGCTATTTCCTAGGTGCTCCACGAAGCTATCCTTGCGGATTTCACCTTTGCGCTTGGTGAGGCGCCCATTGCATTCGCAGGTCTGCACTCGGCAACCGCCGACTGCCCTCCGTGCTCGCTCACCGCGAATCGCCGACAACCTCTGGCATGCGCTCGCCGCACCCCATGCCAGTGGCTCAGCTGCCGTCGCAGCGGCCGCGCAAGCCGCCGACCACGTCGCCGCTCAAGGCTGCCACGTCCCCGCTTGGAGCCAACACACGCAATTGTCCACGACCAGCTAGGGCACCGTCTCCAAAGCTTACAACGGCACGCCGCCCGCGCGCGAGTACGAGAAGCATTCCGCCACCTTGCCTTCCACATCCCGAGCGCTGCTTCTGTCCCAGGCTGGGCCACATGCCGCCTGCTGCTTTAGTCCGCCTTACTCACGAAGCAATCACCATCCCCTCCGCGGAGGTCCGAGTACTTCTCCTCCGCCACCTGCGCTTAGCGCTGCCGCTCGCGCCCCGGCTCTGTGCCGTGGTCTGCTTGACCCGCTCGGGCTGCCACATCGTTGCGTTCGCTGTCGAGGTTGGCGGCCGCGGGGGTCCCGAGCCCCCAACATTCCGGAGTTATGCATTTCGGAGCCCGGCTTGGCATACATCTAAACATATATTGTTTCAGCGTCACCTTGCGGTCAAGGATTTCGAGCCCGTTCTGGCAATACATCCAAACATAAACCGTTTCAGCGTCCACCTTGCGGTTACAGCATCTCGGAGCCCGGCCTGGCATGAGTCCAAACATGAACCGTTTCGGCATCCGCACAAGGGCTTCTGGTATGGAATGGCCGGGTTTGCTGGCGCAGTCGGGTACTTTCTTTTAGCAGCTGTTGCTTTCAGAAAGGAGTCTCGGTCATTATGTTCGGTCGGGAGTGAAAGCCTACGGTAGAGGCATCGAACTGTGTATTGTTTCGGAAATCCCAAATGTAGCTTCGAAGGTCGAGATGCTGAACATCATTTTTTCGCCATCGCGGAACACGTCTACCAGTTCTTCTACCTTCTGGGTCCGGGCTCCAGCCTGCAAAGGCTAGGGTGAGCCTCCGGCAAGGAGCTCCCCTAGACCGAATTCTTACCTGGCGAGTGGGCCCGGCGGACTGGAAACTCCAGCGACGCACGGCTCTGCATGCGCTGCCAGGGTGGTCCATCGGTGTCCCATCGCTTGGCGGGGCCCTGTAGCGCGCCACCGCAGGCGTTGGCGTGCATCGGCGAGCGCGAACAAGTGCAGGAACGTCCGCATGCCGCCGCCATTCCCTTGTCATCCATTGTCCGTTTCTATTCCCACGCACCTTTTTAAACAATCCGCGACGCGGTCCCAGTGCAGCAGGCCCAAACACAAGGCGACGTCCGACGGCGTCAAGTCCAGGCTTGCAGGCACGGGAAGGCTCTTTCAAGGGCGCGGTGGCAGTCGGCTGGCAAGGGGCGGGGTCTCGTCGAAGCGAGTCGAAGAAAGGACCTCGCTGAGCAGGGGCCGGTCGCCGTCGACATTGGCAGTGCCGGTAAGGGAAAGACCAAGCAGACTGGCACCGAAGGCTTTCGCGGCAGAACAAGCGAGCAGGGCAGACCATCGGGAGGTGAAGGCTGCGATGGTTGCAGCTCGCAGCGGGCGAGGGACGGCGCGGGCCCGGCAGCGAGCGAGGAGGCGAACAAACTGGGCAGCCTCTTAGCTCCAGCGGCCTCCGACCTCGAATGCAAGGACAACGAGCCTGCACCTTTGCGAGCGCAATAGCTCGGGGCAGGTGCGTTCCTTGGTGGTACTGTCGCTGGTGCCGGCGCACAGCTCCACTGGCATCGAGAGGCGACACAAGGGTGGTGTCGACAGCCAGCTGGGCTCCGCCCCAAAGCGGGAGTCCATTTGGGATGACTTCGATGCGGCGGTCATCGAGGCGCTCAGGGTGGATGTTCAGGTCCCGCACGAGGACACTGCTGGCAACTGTAGCCCCGGCCTCGCGGCAAACACGGGCAGCAGCTCGCTCGAGCGGGAGGCCGCGGGACCGCAGGATGCCGGAGCGGGGGCAAGCAGCGCGGTGGTCACCGGGGGGGTCCACGGGGCGGCGGCAGCGACAGGCTGCAGCTTCGAGCGGCAAAGGCAAGCAGAGCCGGCGGAGCAGCAAAGCGCGGAAAACAGGCGAGTCCAAAGTGAGCTCCTGGCTGGAAGGCAAGGCAGTGAAGACCCTCGAAGCAAATGGCCCCGACAGGGACTCGAGCAGGGCGAAGGAAGGAGGGTCAAGCATTGCGCCGAAGCGGCCAGCCATGCTATCGTCGATAGCAAGGGAAGCCGGCCGCTGCCATCCTCGAGTGGTGTCGACAAGCTCGTCGGGGTCTGCTGGAGCAACGGGGGCAGCACTGCGTAGTCCAAGGCCACCATGGCGCAAACACAGGTTTGCACGTGCGGCTGCGGATTTGGGAAGGGGGTCGGCGCCGTCGGCTTCGGCGGGAGCAACCTGGAGCAGCTGGGCATGATGGGCTAAGCAGCACAGGATGTTGTGGTCATGTGCCGCAACAAACACAGCCGTGAGTGCTGGCGGGAGCAGGCGGAGGCAGTAAGTTTTTTTTTTTTTTTCCGCGCCTTTTTGCGTCTGCGCGAACTGTTCCAACGCCGTCTAAACTACCCCTCGGTCCCTAGTGCGTTGCACTATCGGAGCGGCAGCCGACTGGGGGCGCTCGCATCCGCAAGAGCAAGCACGTCGCCAAGTGGAAGCACGCCAGGCGCTCCAGGCAGCGGCGGCATGGACCAGACTCCAAGCGCAGAGCTGGCAACGGCTCGCTGCAGGGCTACCGACAGCACACTCCACCAGCGGCGTGCCCAGCCTTGGGCTGCGGAGGCTCGCAACGGCGGCGGAGCTCGTTGGACCCGGAGCCGGAGCAAAGTACGGAGGAACTGCTGACACTCGTCGCTCCAGCGCCCCCCGACTTCAGCAGCGAGGACAACGAGCCGTTGAGGCCCGCCACGGGTGAGCTCCGGGTAGCGCGCGAGTTTGCGTCGTCGCGCCGCAGCAAGTGCGACTCCCGCCCGCGTGTCAGCACCCGAGACGGGGCGACCAGCACGGGTAAGTGGGGACACCAGCGTGGCGTCGCAGCACAAG